TAGTGGTCTATTATCAATGCTGCCCTCTGATTGGTTAAGCTACTACTAGGCTATATGTTATAGCCCACTAGTAGCGAAAAGCGCCGGCTTTTTGGCGGCAAAAAAGGATTTAAGTCTAAATTTAACTAGCTAAAGTTGTTTTATGTCGATATTTTTGACCAACTGTTTGGTTTTAGCTAAAACAGTTATTCCTCTGGCCCTCGTGGCCTCTGAGTCAATAGCCCATTCGGCCTTCTGCCTCATTGGCTATTGACTCAGAGCCCATTCGGGCTCCAGGAATAATTGTTAAATATATTGTAGCTAATGACGTCATCTATATTTTTACGTTTGTTTTCGTGAAAGAGGATGTTTTGTTAAGACAGGGGCTTTACACACGTACGCACCTAAACTAGGCACGTCTGTACCTAAAATAATTTCGAAAGGTCAAAAAAAACTTCCGACTTCCGACTTCCGACTTCCGACTTGCAACTTGCAACTTCCAACCAACTTCCAACTTTGTCCTCGAATTGTTTGTCCTTATGTTCCCTTCTCAACGCTTTGTAAAGTTATGATCACTTATCGGCCCAGGGGTCCGTTTCTCAAAAGCCCCGATATGTTAACGGGCAGGTAAAGCTGTTGTTGTTTACAAGCAAGATAGAGGTTTCAATAGTTTTGCATCTAACATGATAAAAATCAATTTCACCATCAATTAGTGAAACAATATGGAGTTGTTTGCTAGCCAGGACCCGCGCCCTTATTCCTTATATTTCGATTTGAATATTTGATTTCGGGCCCGAAAAGTTACCGGGACTTTCGAGAAACGGGCCCCAGGTTTTCTTTCATTTGCCAAACGGATAACGCCAGCATAAATGACACCAGTATATGAAAGTCATTGAATGAGGCTACGGTACGAATGTATGGACTTTAATATGTTGACAAAATCAAGTCCAAAAACATTACTTTGTTGCCCATCCTATGTTCTGCTTGAAGGAGCTTTTTTTTTTTCTCAAGTGTCTCAGTTTTTTTAACCCTTTAATTTCTAATATTGGATTAGGTATTATATATAATTCACCATTAACTTCAAATTTCTTTTTGAAATTCTTCAGAAATAAAGTTTGTTTACCATTTACAAAAAGCTTCCGGAAAATCAGTTGGAAAAGTAAATGAAATACCAACTAAATGAATAAGTTTTATAATGTAGTTAACACAAATGCGCGTTTTGCCCTTTTGAATCTTAGTTCGGTTGAAATGAAGATCGGCTTCTGCCAGTGAATGAGTCGATTCGGCTCAAGTGAAAGTATATATGGCGTCTCAACCGGGCCTTAGAGAGACACTGAGATTTGGTAGCGGCGTCCAGGCAGGCATATTACTGAGGGAAAAGCCTCTCACAAAACAAAACAAAAAAATAATAATAATAATAAAAATAATAAAATGCCAATTCCAATTCCGATTTCCAACGAGGCAGGAAGACTAAAAACGAAAGCAATCAAATGCTCCTTGGAGCGAGCTCATGGATGAATGGAATTAGTGTAGAAAAAACATTCCATTTTGATATTCAGGTGTTTTAAACTGCTTGGGCACTGTAACAGAGTCACTTTTCTCCTTCGTTTTTTTTTTTTTATATCTTTCATGACTTTCTGTGTGTTGATATACTTGATAGATCATGTTTAATTTCTTTAGCATTTGATTTTCAGTAGGTTTTTTTTGGCATACAGTATTTAGCATTTGGTTTTCGGCATCTGCTTTTGGGATATAGTGTTAAGCATTTCGTCAGCGTTTCTTCGGTAACTTTTTGGCATCTCTATAACACTCACGCTTTCCACCAAGGACTAGGGAGCTTCCCTTCCTTGCCCGAAGCTGTGCGTGTTGTTGTTGCATGTTCACCTGAATATTCTAGAAACTTATTAAAGCGTAGCATTTCTGCTTAACGCAAAGATCACTTTAAACTTATTTATTCAACGCTTTTTAGTTGTAAAATAATTTGCTTTCTCATGTGACTGCCAAACACTTTCCGAACGATAGTGCACTTTCTCGTAAAATAGCTAAGTTTTACATAAGGCCGAGTTTTATTCAAATCGTGGTTTTACACAGTTGTTTTAAAATGGACCTCGAGGGTTTCCTATAAGTGCTTTTAAATAAATGTTTTCGGATATGCTGTTCACAAAGAGTACGTAACGGTTAGTACGGCAGGCGTTTATGGCTACATTAAACTGCTTTAAAACGAGCTTTTGCTAAACACTAGCTAAAAATTATTTTAATAAACGGACTGAGCTCGAGGCTGTACGTGCTCTGACCTAGCAAAGTAATTTAACGCAGTCGAAGTATCCGATTGCCCTTCTGTACTTGAGTATTCTAGAAACTTGTTTATTCCAGCGCAGCATTTCCTGTAGATAAATGGAATCACCGACAAACAACCTACTGGGCAAAGATCACCTTTTTACAGAATTCAAGCAAAATTTTCCAGATAGCAATAAACCACAATAGATACTCCTCAACGTCGCTTTAACAATTCGAGGACCGTTTTTCGGCAGCTAGCGCTTATTATTCGCTTATCGCTGAGCGAAATCCCATCGTCACAGTCAGGCTGCGATAGCTCTTTCACACTCCTGTCCATCGCATCGTCTTCATCAACCTGATAAAGTAAACGTGCACAGTTCGTCCGAATATACAACAATGATCCACGCTCACTTATTTCAACGTCCTTTTAACAACTCCAAGTCCATTTCTTGCCGATGATATTGTCAGTGTTCTTTTGAATATTTCATACATGCTTTTACAACTACAACAAATTTAAAAAATAAAGAATTATGAACGGAAACAACAAAATTATACGGCATATATCATTTCGATAATAATTGTACTATCAGTTAATTACCTAATCAATTGGATTTTTCACTCAGGAAGTGCTTTCGTTTGTTAAACATTAGATTGCCATATTTGGCTATAATTTGTGAAGAAACCACTGGAGAAAACCGGAAAATTTATTTTCCCGTGACATCATATATAGTTAGGCACTAAGTTATTACAAGTGTCATTCACTACAAACTGTGACCTTGGAGAAGTCTTACTCAGAGTTTTCGTCACAACCAAAAGGATGCAGGATTCCAGAGCTGAACCCGACAATGAACATCTTTATAATCACCTACAGTTATTAACTATCCGGTCTTCACCGTCCGGAGACCCAGCAGGAAACCAAATTCACCATGAAAACGATGAAAGAAGACGACAACAACCTACGGAAAATATTGCTATAAGTCGTCATGTGTTATCCGCTATGATAGCTGTTCTGGCCTTATCCTTCTTGACAATGGTTGCTACATTGATTTTAACTATAAGGATGATGCCTACAGGAGCAGGTGAAACTAAAGGTAATTTTTACATACTAATTTGAAGTGATTCTCTGTAACTCTGCCAGGCTCAAAGTTCGAAAATTAGATTCGACTTTTACCCTTATACCATGGTACTTCGATTCCGCTAATTCTTGGTATGTAGTCTTGAAATGGTATCCTAAAACTGAATTGATGTTGATTTATTCGCTTTGAATTCTCTTATCTTTACTTTGAAAGATATCGAGAGGAGTCTTCGAGGAACCGCAGTACTCCCTCTTAAGGCATTAATTGAGGCTTTTTCGCGGAAAATAATCTAATCATTACTGATACAGCTGCAAAAGACTATCCTGCACTTTGAATCTACTAACATTAGCATGAAAACAGTTAAGTCTATGATACGAACGACTTAAACGCCAAACAGCATATTTTAGGTACTTAGAATGTATCGTCCAATGTAAGGTAATCCGGATTCTGGAATCCGGGAAATTTTTCGTTTGGAATCCGAAATAGGAATTCATAGAGGATAAGGAAGCGTAATTGGTAATTGAGAGCTTGCTCGCAGGCTATGTACGTAATTGGCAATATAATTAACAAAATGAAATGGACAGCCATCAATGACACAGCCCCTTTTTTACGCGCTTCTCTCTTGCCGGTTTAAACTTCCTGCGTGGCTCTATAACTCGTTTGACCCTCAGGATAAACATAAACCAGTTCTTATACCGGGGTGTTTCCCCAGTAGCAAATCCAAAAAGTGCTTCTTCGTGTACTATATATGTCTCTGGTCAAATTGGTATTAGAAGCTTCAATGTAAACTGAATATTTATCTGTTACGCAGGTATGGCTGAGGAGATACAACAACTGATCGAGTTAAGTCATGAAATAATAGCTTCGAAGGCAAATCAAACTGGAAGAGAAAATAGAGTGTTTGATAAAGGTAGGGTGAAGCCAACTTGCAGAAAGTAAAGAGTAGAAGTTGTAACCAAACTGATCACTCCTTTTCGGAAACCATATTTATCTTGAAGAGAAAATTAATTTTATGTAGTAATAGTCATTGATATAGATTGCAAGTTCTATGAAGTTCTGTGAAGAAATGAGTGTCTTAATTGCTTGATAGGAGAACCCGAGGTGGTCCCGTTACATTTCATTAGAAAGGGGTTGCATCATGAGAATTCTACCAATTCTAGAGTAAGACTACCCTACAATGATGGAAAAAAGTCTTGGGACAAGTTTGTTCTTCTAACACTTTTTTAGACACACACACACGCACATCCACCCTACCATTTTTTTGAAATATTCAAAGAAATTCAAGGAAACTAATCAAAAAGTTTATTATTTCTTGGCCTATAAGTTTACCTTTATCACGGTATTTCGTATATTTCATTCTATATTAAAAGCACTCATGGCAATGTTCGAAAAGTAGTTTATTGTGCTAATTATATAAAAACCACCTCAATGTGAAAACAATCAATGGTTTTTATTGCTGTTACCATACATGTAAAAGACAAAGAACACAAAGGGATTTCCATCCCAAAATAACGTATATATCAAGCGTTTCAAATTTAACAAGTTGTCGTAACTTCAAGACATGACGTGGATCATATATGTAAGTGTAGAACAGTAGAAACAAGCAGTCTGAAGTAAACAATAAAGTATGTTTCTTGAATGCTTTCATCTCAAACAAAATTAACCGTCTTATTTTTCTGCAATTTTTTGCATGAGGCCAATCATCAGACTCATGAGTTGATTGCTCTGTTGTTGTTGCTGTTGTTGATTAGCAAGTGCTAGCTCATAAAGCCTTGTCTGCCGCTCGTGCTCCTCCCTTCTCGCTTTCTGTTCTTCTTGTTTCATTGCCATATCAATGTTTGCCTTTTCCCTCAGAAATTCTATTGTGTCATTTCCACCCTTTCTTGACCTTTTCTTCTTCGGCTCTGACGAACCCTCACCTTCTCCTTTCCGTTTCATCGTTTCACCCAGCTTTTCGCACGCCTTCTTTCGGACCTCCTCTCCCATTGCTCTGTCTTGCTCTGTCTTTTTCCTGTTATTCAGCAACAATATATCTTGTTCATCCGCTGCTTCCCACTTCTCGTTGATCTCCTCGAGGGCTTGGTCCAGCTCTGTTTGCTCTACTTCCACTCCACTGTCTCTCCGTTCCTTCTGCATTCTTGCACGATACTTGTCCAGTAAAGGCTTAAGATGCTCCCTCACCGATTTCTTTGTGACAAAAAACCTCAATGTAGCGTGCGAATTCAGGTTGTCCGTTATTGTTGCCACACTTTTCCTCTTTCAACTGTCCTCGCCTGTAGACGAAAAGGTTACAATAACAAAACCTCCCGAGCAAGAGCAAGGTCGTGGTTGTTTGTCCATTCCATTACCACACTAAAGGAAGAAAGGCCCCCCACACCAGGCCCCCATTCCCATATCAAACCCTCCTGAACATGCGAGACTGAACCCCTAGCCAAACCCTTGTCTTCACTAAAACCGCTGGACGCATGACCTGGTTGAGGTCATTGTTATCTAAAGTCTTTCTATGGGCTCCTGAATACGTAAAATATTCTTTCAACAAGCCTAGCATTTGAAACAGTTGTCTTAACGTTAAGCAGTGTCAAAGTGGTGAGCGATCACTCTTCCTTCCCGTATCCATTCCCGATATCAGCTAAATCATGCGAATGACACCGAGGAAGCCTATTTAAAGGCCATGAGAGAAAGATTAGGTAAGATTCGATAAGATACTTGTCCTTTGTGACTTATCCTTGAGATGATACTCCATGTATGCCACGAAGCTGAGCGCTTTCAATACGGTGAGAACTTTTGCTTCACCAGTTCTCAAAAGTCAAAAAGAAATATGGGATGTAACAGACTCTATAAAGATACCTCAGGGTTCTCTCAAATCGGAGGGAAACGAGAGTCTGAGAGATTTTATTCAGACTCATACGATACTGGACACCCTGGGTTCTGCACCATTTTGTGCTAGTGTATCCGCAATTTATAATGATCCATTGGCGGACTTGGAGTATGTCAGGTTTAGTTGAACTTACTATCATGGAGCTTAAGCAACGACGACTGGAGCTGACCGGGACGGAAATGAAAACTGCCAAAAACTCCATCTAAAATTCCCACGTGCACGAGCCAAGCAAACTCGTTTCAAATTTGCAGCATTTGCATATTACCCGGGCATATTACCACAGAGAAAAACCTAACCTCAAATCACTGTCTTGAATTAAAAAGCCTAGGATTCAGTGTTTTGAAATACATTGTCTTAACGTTAGCAGCGTTTGCTTTCTAGGTTTCTAAAGGGTCGCTGCGGGCACATAATTTACTAGACTTGCTACAATAATGCACCGCAGGCTATGAAACATGGATCATGCATCATTCTTCTCAGAAGCAACCTTAATTGAAATAGGTGTATTTTTGGTCAATTTCAAGAAATGTTAATTAAGGGTTAACGTCGTCCGTTTCATGCTAGGTCCATAGAGCTGACAGTTGATGATCAATAAAAGTATATTAAGACGGGGCGGAATGCAAGTATCAGGCACACGTCACGTACAGGGAAGCAAGAGATTACAGATCAGTAGTTATTTAGGAAAAAAATTACAAAAAAAAGCTTGATTAATATACGGGGATGAAAACTGAGTTTGATAGGGAAGGAAACAAATTATGCATTATGCGTTAGAAAGTTAGTAATTACATTTTCCGTTGAAAGATTATTACATTTTGCTTCTCAAACTCATTAATAATTCATTAAGAAAATACAAAGGAAATTAATGTTTAATGAGTGTTTGGAAATCGGATGAAACACTGCTTAGTATTTGCATCCTTAATTTCTCCTTCAAAAATGCTTTTGTTTGAGAAGAAATATCAAACATTCGACACAGTGTTTCATCACCAGATGAAACACCTCGAAGTTCGTCAAAAATACTCCGCTGCGCGTCGTATTTTCAACTCTCTTCTCGGTGTTTCATCTGGTGATGAAACACTGCATCTCATGTTTGATATATTACGTCAAAAATATTATTACATATTTGGGGCCATTCTTAGTGCATCTTGAGTTAGTATTGCAATTTGCGGCGATTGTTACATTTTGCGGTGTAATAGTGGTGACCTGTAAGAAAGTCGGAGTAGTGACAAACCATAGTGTTACAGCTTCTAGGGGCGTTACCAGAGCTGATTTGACCTTTGCTCCAAGCAGGAAAATAAAAAGCTAAAATTGCTGCACAATGAATACGGTTTGAATAGGACAGAAAAGAATTGTAATGTTATGCGGTGATTAAACGTGGAATAAACAATGCACGTTTACATTTGCTTGGGCCCTTTTATTCCAGACTATCAATATTCTTGTCTTCTCTTACAAAGTCTTTACGCCTTTTTACACGGGATCTTGTGCGCAAGGAAAATATAATTTTGAACATATCAATGAAAGATGTTCACGACTTTGTAGAAAATTCCCTGATCTTGATTTTTTTTGTTTGCTTTACCTTGACATGTCCCTACCTGAGACTCAGTATATGTTGCTTTAAGCAATGAATGTTAGATTGTTAATATCATACATTTTGGTACAATATTTTGCCAATTGATAATGAAATTCTTGACATTATCATTAGCCGCTTTCACACTACAGACGAGAGGATGATTCGGATAAATGGCGTCAGACATTATAATTTGTTTTGATGTGAAAACGGAACGGTTTCTTAAAATTGGGACTACCTTAACTGTCTGCCGTTATCCGTCAAGAAGGATAGTTAACCAGTCTCTTTTGTGAAAACGGCTATTACTTTTAAAGAAACAAAATCCAAATATACGTGAATTACGGGAAACCCAGCTTAATATACATGGGGCCTGATATGGTAAGTCGGGGCCTGATATGATAGGTTGGGGCCCGGCTGGGGCCTGATATGGGGGGTGTAATATGGTATGGAACGTTCCAACCTTAGTAGACTGAATGACTGCTTTTTAGTTAATCTGTATTTAACTTTGAATGACATGCAATAACAATCCAACTACCCCGCTGGCAGAGTGGCTTTGACCTTTTGGGGGAGAGCCTCGGTGATTTTAGAGGAAAAATAATCTGCACACATTCATGGAATGAAAAAAAAACTTATATCGAGTTTACAGCTGTGTTGAGTGTACACCCAAAAATGGGAAATTATTTTCGATCAGAGTAGTAGGATAGGAAAAGAAATGATTGCCCAACAAAATCTCCCAACTGCCCATCTACATTGTCCATCCCTTCCTTTTCTAAAGTTAATTGGTCAGCCCCTAACTACACTTTCATGTTATAAAGGCCGGTTCTTGCAAGCGGCGAACCAAACAACGTGAGCGAAAAGTGTGGAAACATGTTTGGCTCGGCAAACAGCCGTAGAGGCAAGTGGAACGACTTATCTTGCGATGTCGATCTGGCAAAGCATTGGAAGTACGCTCCAGTTATCCTTTGCAAGAAAAAGCAAATTAGGTGACTTGCACCCCAAAAGTCATAAATAGAGTAGAGCACTTTGCTGTAATGCCATTTAATAAACTAAATAATACGACATAAGTCAAAACTAACGATTTTGTGCAAGGATGGCGTGCGCACTTCTCGTAATGAGAATTGTTCGTCAAGTGAAGCTGATTTAGACTGAAAATAAATCAATTAAAATCAAAAATAAAATGGCGGTTACACTTAAAATGCTGTCACTCATTTACGATCTTTATTTGCTACTTTTACTAATGGATCGTGTGTCTTTCGGGTGACGGTAGATAACTATTTCAGTTGGACATAGAGGGATAATAGGGATCTCAGCTAGCGGCACTACGAAAACATGATTATTTACACGAGTTGCCTACAACAATAAGCGCCCAGAAAATAACAAATATATAAGAAATAAACGAAAAAAAAGCTTGTTTGTTTTAACGCAAAAATGTTTTGATAGTCTGACCATCTGCCACAATCAAACTAAAGAAAAGAGTAGGTGATGTGTAGGCCAAGTGTCCTACAGTTTTTTTTTTTGTATTTCGGAGTAGTTCTCATAGGGGGGGGGGGGCTATTAGACAGGGGAGTTTATTAGAGAGTTGCGTCTAATACAATTTTGACAGCGTAGAGGGGACGTTTATTACGCGCGCTCACACCGTAATTTTTAGGGAGTTATTATAACTCCAAAAATGGAGTAAAAATTTTAGGTACAGGATAACCCCTTTTTTGGGGTTATTTTAACTCCTAATTTAACTCCGAATTTGGGGTCATTTTTACTCCTGAAAAAGAGTTCTTTTTACTCCCAGTCTTGGAGTTAAAATTACTCCGAAATGGGGTTACTTGTACTCCTTACAGGGGTTGTTTTCACTCTTTTTGGAGTTAATTTAACTCTGAAAGTGGAGTAAAAATTTTAGGTACAGGATAACTCCTTTTTTGGGGTTATTTTAACTCCTCAAAATCTGTGGTCACTTTTACTCCTGAAAAAGAGTTCTTTAAACTCCTTTTTGGAGTTAAAATAACTCCACGAAAAATAACTCCACTGTAAGGAGTTAAATTAGCCCCACTAGAGGAGTTATTATAACTCCCTGAAAATTACAGTGTATAGTTTTCACTAAGTCTCTAATTGCCCCCAATACAACAAAAACAATCCAAATCAGTATTTTATTTCATCTGAAAAATACTGTACAGTGAAACATGCACGTGTCACTCATTATTATGTCAGGTTAGTGACACAGAGGAGAGGCACAGATAAGAACCAGAATTCTTCAGGCTAAGATTTTGAAAGAACCAGATGAAGTAGAAATGTTAAAACAGATCGCTATGGAGTTCTTAAAGTCCACTAATCATTCTAATGGCAAAAAAAATTTCTATTGGCTTAAATTGCAGTCATTTAGACATAACAACATGCATATTTTGTACAAACATTTAAAACCTCCAACATTCTTACAAAAAGTCTTTTTTCCTTAAGAAAATAAGAACCTCGAATGTTTGAGAACCTAAACAGCTTAATTTCCAAGAAACAGAAAATTTATAAGAGCCTTTTGAGGCTAACTTCGAAAAGCACCTATTACTTAGTCCTTACTGTATACTACTAAATGTAAGAGCAGGGGGGGGAGGGGGAGGAAGAGTTAGGGTTAGGGTTTTAGGGTTAAGGTTAAGGTTGGGGTTAGGGTTAGGTTAGGGTAAGGACTAGGGATAGTTTAGGGTTAGAATCAGA